TTTTTTTTGCATAAACCGCGTGCGTTTTCTTCCTTGCTGAATAAGGAAAAGAGAAGTATGAACATAATTGCTCTTGTTTATGCGGTGCAATAAATCATCGAAACTTTCCAAAACATGTTATCCAAAGTTTCATATACCTCCTGGGCCATCTCAATGAAGCCTGACATGGCACATTTAGAACGCACAAGTGAAAGTAATCGTGAATCCAAATATATGTCTTACTGGGTAGAGTCTGTCGGCCCATCACTTTTTAACACAATTCACTGAAAGAAACGCTCTTTTCATATAAATTGATTTGTTCTTTTTGGCATAAGTGACTTTTCTCTAGCATAAAAAAGCAGCTTAACCGAATGACCTGTGTCTTCTGATTGCATTGGCAGATCTTTGTTTGAGATCACTGTGCTTATTTTAACTTCCTATTCTGGGCTGTACAGCTTTTTTCATTGTAAAGCTAAACTACCGGCTGATTTTGTAAACGTCTAATCTAAACGGAGCTTCATAAAAGCTTACACCGCTCCTGCAAGCTCTTCATTTTATTGTCCAAAACCGCGATCATCTCAAGGTTTATTTTTCAAATTTTGCAGCCTTGAGTTCATTTTTTGAGAGCAATGGGTCAAAGAATGCTTGTGAGCGCACCTTCTCACGCTTCCTCCTTCAACAACGTTGTTTCATTTTCCTTGTTTCTTTGTTCACCACATGTTAAGGCGAATCACAAAATGTCTCAGAAATTGCCCATCCATCAGCCTAGCACACAAAGAACGGTCGCTAGGCATACGTGCTGATCTTTTTATTGCCAACGGGCCATTGCTTTGTTATTCAATTTATGCGACAATGTATTGCGGACCCACGTCATTCTATTCGGCTCTGTTCATTTGCGCCATCAATTCAGCTTTCTATTTTCGGTTATTTTTGTTATAAAGCTCGCAATTCTCAGTATACTATTGGATTTTTCTTCATCGAAATTTGATAAACGGAAACAAAGACTGCTAATAAATTAAGTGAGGTTCGATCTCACTTTGTTATCACGAGTTTAACGATAAGTAGAATAAGTGTAAATCTCTTGTGAAAGAAATTGAGATCTTGCAGTTCTAATGTTTTTGAATCACAACTTTCAAGAAAAAAACTGTTGGTCACTACTATGTGGCCTTTCACTTGGATATTGGCGAAATACTTTTGATCTCTATCGGAATGAGTGAATGCAAAGTCGAAAATCTATAGTTTACCGCAGACACTTCTAATCTGAAAAAATACCAATTTGTTCATTTGTATCCGTCGCTCTACATGTAGCCGCTCATTTTTCGCTCAGATTATAACTTGCGTTTATTTCGACCCTAATTTTTCAGTTCTCCTGTTTTCTGTTTGGCCTGTGACCAGAGTCAGCGGAAAATGAGAAGATGACTCACATGTTTGTCTCTGCTTCAGCAACCACTTGAATCGGTGTTATACTTTCATTACTGTATTCGCAACCGCTCTGTTCACATTGCCGTCCACTCGAAAAATGGTGTCCCAGTCAAGCCGTACGACGCCAAACGAGCTGCTGGAACCGCAGCCCTCACAGCAGCAGCCGCATCGAAAAAAAAGCAAAAAAGCCACCAACTGGGTGGCACAGGCTCGCTCTCGTGCTACTGGGACACTAAGGCGCACGTTGTTCGGTCAAAAATCAAAATCTGCAAGGGCACGGGATGCTGAGAGCATAATACCCGAGGAGGATGACGACTATACGCAGACTAACTATGACACAGTCAAGTCGTTGCCGGCTACTGGTCACTATGGGAAAAGCCGTGTCGGTCATCATCTGCATGTAGATGTTGAGGGCCATCTTGGACTACCCCCAATGCCCCCATATGCGCAACCTCCAGTCGTTATTTTAAAACTGCCCAGAAGACGTCAAAATGTTCAACCATGCCGCATCTCACCGATAGCCAGAGTCACGGTTTACGACCCTACTTTTGACTTCCATGCATGGCAGGCGGCACTTGATGAAACAGAATGTGAGTGACCCATATTCCACATTTTAGGCAGCTTTGTTCAACTCATTCGATTCAATGACCATTGGTTCGGCTGTAGCTGACATAAACACAGTATTTTTTGGTGGGGTTCGATCAGAGTTCAGAGAAGAGAAGAGTCATTTGCTTCCTTGTTCGGTAGTAATTTTAAATCCTGCTTTCAGATTGTCAAGACGCTGTCTACTCATTGTTTATGAAAGCACATCGATGTTACGACCTCATTCCAACATCAACTAAACTGGTTGTTTTCGACACACAACTGCCGGTAAGTTTCGTGATCTCTTCGATCATGATAGTGACCATTTTACTGGCATATGTGCTTCACTTTTTCACTCAGTTATAATTCTTGACTTTCAAAAAATCAAAATTTGTGTTTCTGTTCCTTTTTCCGTGTAGTATCTGCACAAAAATCACTCCATCTCCTGATAACATTATGAAGAATGTCCATTTAGGTGAGAAAAGCCTTTTTCGCACTTGTATATAATGGAGTTCGAGCGGCGCCACTGTGGGATAGTGAAAAACAGCGTTTTATCGGAATGCTCACTATCACGGATTTTATCAAGATCCTTATAAAGTAAGTGTTCTTCTTGCATTATTTTTTTCAAAAGATATCTGCTTGGAAGGATTGATTAGATGCACACTTGGTGTGTGTGTGTGTTTTTTTTAAATTCTAGCTTTGCAATCGTTCCTGTGAACATTTATGAAAAGCTTTTATAGTTTAATCATGCATCTATATGTAATCCCTAGCAGTGGATCGGGTTTTCTATGCATTTGGTCATATCAAATGCTTTAAATTAACGTTTCTTTCCACTGCTCCATATATAGTGTTTATACTCATGAAATCAACTAAACTGTTCTTTTCAATGTATCTATCAATGAACCTGGCTGACAATCATTGAGGATTTTACCTCTGTATTCAGTAAAACTCGACAAAACGTATAGCACATTAAGGCATTATGAAGCCGGTGACAAGGAAGAGAAAATGCGCGCGCTTGAGGAGGAACAGATCAGTCATTGGCGAGAGCAGTTTGAAGCTGATGAAAATGGTATCCGACCGTTAGTGACCATTGATCCAAGTGAAAGGTTAGATTTTTGTAGTTTGGTGTTCACTTGTTCCTGTACCGCTTATGTTTTAGCTTACATCGAGCTGTGCAAGTGCTTTGCGAGTCCAAAGTACATAGACTGCCTGTTATGGACAAGCACACGGGCAATATTAGCTACATTCTCACGCATAAAAGGCTAATCAAATTTTTAAACCTATATGTGAGACCAAATAGTCTTTCCTTGTACTAAGGGTTTTTTTGATACTTAAAGTTTTATCTCAGTTACCCGATTTGCCAAAACCAGCTTTTATGGACTCCACGCCAAAAGAGTTGGGAATCGGATCGTGGGGTGACATCGTCACGATCCATGTAGACACGCCGCTTCACGATGCCTTAGAAATATTCCTTCGCAATCGGGTCTCCGCTCTACCATTAGTGGATGAAAATGGACGGGTGAGAAAGAATCTTTTTACATTCTTATTACCAACCTCCAAAGGAGCATGCATTTCTTCTTCTCCTTATTTTTGAACTCTGTCGCAATTATCAAAATCTTGTCTAAAACTTTGTCTGTGAAGCGTATTTGTAAGCGTATATCAAATTATAGCATATTGAAACGTTAGACTTGGAAATCATTTTTTGAACGAACACTTTTTAGGTTGTTGATATTTACGCCAAATTCGATGTGATCAGTCTGGCAGCTGAAAAATCGTACGATAGGCTTGACTGTACGGTACAAGAAGCCCTGAAGCATCGTTCTGAGGTG